TAGGTAGTGCTGTGCTGTTGGCACTCCCTGGAGCTCCTTCCACCCGAGTCCAGGTGGGCGAGACGCTGTGGGGGCTGCCTGGGGCTAGAACACAGTCAGCAAGTCCTGGCTGGCCTCATCTGAACCCCCAAACCAAACCTGTTGTCGCTGAGTAGATCTCAACTCGTGGTGACCCCGTGAGTTACAGGATAGAGCTTTCCCACCCCCAGGTTTTGCCTGACTGTGATCTTCACGCCAGGAGCTCACCAGACCTTTCTTCCACGGCACTGCTGGGTAAGTTCACACCGCCAGCCTTCTGGCTGCTGGTGGTGGTTATGCCCCCGTGGAGCCAGAAGCGACCCCATAGCTGACTCTCCAGCGGATTTCAGAGGCTGTAAAGTGCACAGGAGGAGACTACCCACCTTTCTCCCATGAACAGCTCATGGCTGCAGACAGCATGACTTCAGGGTCATCGCACAGGTCCTGACCACCTGGCCACCAGCGCTCCCCATACAAACTGAAATCGAGGGACTGTCCTGAGGTCTGAGAAAGACCCTGGGGGCCTGGCATTGGGCTTCTCAGCTGTTTCCCTTTGCTCCTATCCCTGGCTGGGCACACCCCACCCAGGGCCACAGCGGAGCCCCCTCCCAGAGCTCCCTGATCCTCACCGCCCCACAAATGAGATGCTAATTTATGCCCATCCCTGGCCTCCCGGGCTCCTGGCAGATGCCTGGCCCCGCTCTGCTGGTGCACCTGCATGGCAAGTGCTTCATTAGCCAGGAGGGAAGGAGCTTGCCCTCCTTAATCTAATCCCGCCCATGACCTTCAGGAACCAGGCCCTTCCTGACGTTGGGGGCCTGGGCCGGTGCACCAATCAATTATGCAGCTGCCTCCACCACAGCTGCTGTCGAATGGATTTCTCGCTCAGAAAAGCGTGTTCAAAAAGCATTTAATGGAACGGATCATCAATTTGTTTGAATACACATCTAATCTGATTAGGGGGGTCTGGCCACTAGGGCAGTCTGTGTAACTCAGCTTCGACACGGCCCTGGGGACCTGTGAGTGGGTGGGGGGGGCTGCTGGAAGATGGGGGGGCAGGGCCCTGTGCCCACCATCCAACCTCCCTCTGCCCAGCATACAATCAGCCAGAAATGTGACAGAGGAAAGGAGAAGGAAGCAGGGCGATCCCACAGGGCAGGGCCAAAAGGGCTGCTGTTCTCCAGTCACCCCAGCACCGGACACAGGAAGAGCTTGGGAAGTGTGCAATGAATGAATGAGTGGTGATGAGGCTTAGCATGGAAGCCAAGAGTCTGTAACGCGGTCTCTAGACAAGGCTAGGCGATGCTCTACTGATGTTTTCATCCATTCTTCCTCGAAGGAATGGGCCTGAGAACAGAGTACCAGTGAGTCCAGGCCCACCCTGTTCACTGGCTACAGGGCCTTTGCTAGTCCGTCAGTCCTTCCTCCCTTCCTTCCTTCCTTCCTCCCTTCCTCCCTCCCTCCCTCCCTCCCTCCCTCCCTCCCTTCCTTCCTTCTTTCTTTCCTTCTTTCTCTCTCTTCTCCCCTCTTTCTTTGCCCCTGCTAGCTCCAGCCCCCATGCCATCTAGAGCTCTTTCCCTATGCTCTTTGCCCCACGTCCCACAGTCCTCTGTCATTACGTAGGACCACATTAAAGATCTCTCCTGGCACAGCGATTAAGCACTGAGCTTCTAAATCAAATATTAGTAGTTCAAACCCACTGTGGAAGAAAGACGTGGCAGTCTGCGTGTATAAGAACACAGTCTCTCGGAAACCCTGTGGGACAGCCCTCGTCTGTCCTAGAGGGTGGGGAGGAGTGAGAATTGACACGACAGCCGTGGCCGTGACATATATATCACAGCTGTGAGAGCCCAGCTTAGTGAAGTGCCTGCTGGGAGACCAGACACGGGCGGAGGCTGCCCACCTCCCAGCCCCAGAGCCTCACCCTGAGCCTGGCACACAGGAGGGCACAGGCTCATGAAGGGAGGGGTGGACAAGCAACCCTGCACCTGAACTTGGCCAGACTGCTGCTTCTTCTTCCCGGGGGCGCTGACCATCCTGTTGTCGTGAGGTGCCATCGAGTCAACGCCCACAGCTTGAGGCCTCCCCAGCACCATCCTCACCATTTCTGCCACGTTCGAGCCCACCTCCTAGAGGGTCCTCTTCTCATTAGCCCACCCTCAACCTCACCCCGTGTGAGGTCGTTTTCCAAGGTCTGGCCCTCCAGACAACATGCCCAAAGAGCGTGGGGGAGGCGTCACCCTCCACGCCTCTAAGGAGGACCCCAATGGCACTTCGTCAAACACAGACCTGCTTGTTCTTAAGACAGTCTGTGGGACAGTGAACACTACGATCCAAACACAAGCCGTCTTCTGTGGTCTTCCTTCCCAGGGGACAGCGACACTTCCTTCCCCTACCGTCTGGCACTGTAAGACCACCGTAGTTATTCACTGGTGGTCTTGTTGAACCTCAGCATTGCCTCAGACTCACAGAGACCCCCAGGGGTATGGAGAAGAGCTGGGTGTATGTCACCAGCTTTCCTTAGCTGTGTCCTTTTAGAAGCAGATTGCCAGGCCTTTCTGTTGAGGCACCTGTACGTGATTTTTTGAACCACCAACTTTTCAGGAAAGGATGGCAACCAAGTGCTTAACTGTCTGTGCCACCAAGTGTTCAAACTCCAGCTCCACCACTAATGAGCTACGTGACTGTGGGCATCTCTCTGTGCCCAGCTGCACCCCAGCTGGGGAAGTGGACAGTAACAGGGTAGGTGAAAGGAGTCAGATGGCAGGAATGACCCCTAAAAGGTGGCTGTCACTACTGCTCTTTGCCCGTGTCCCCCTGTGAGCACGCCCCCCAGCCCGGCCTCCCACCAGCCCCACACAGGTAAATAACGCCATAGCCTCCCAGCCTTGAGTGGAAAAAAGATGGTTCTCATTTCCGATGGGTTTATTTTGCAATTAACAGAGAGGAAGGGAGCCCTTTCTTCCATTTCAGCTGGAGGGTTCAGAGATTAAACTTACACCATTGATTAGAATGCTTTCGCCTAATGGTACCATCATCATTTTAGTGTGTTCAGATTCATTTGAGCTATAAAAGTGATGATCATAAAATTTTCACTAACTCTTGGAATTCCTCCCAAGAAGTGTGCTGGGCTACACGGTGGACAGGCCGCTTTGCCTCGGTGACCCCGCAGCAGGACGGCGAGCATAGAGGACTTGACCGCTTTACAACCTGGACCTGAGACTCACAGAAGAGGAGGACTTGGCCAAAGGTCCCACAGGGCCAGCTGCCCGGCCATGGCGCCTGTCCACGCCTCACATCTGGCTATTGCTCCCCAGGTACCCTACTTTTCTGAAGACTCCTTAGCAGATGAGATGTGGTCATCATGTGGGTATCACCCCTCAGCTGCCCTTGAGCCTGCGACTGACAGCCAAGGGACCCTGAGGGGCTGCACCAGCTACCAGTGGGGTCACCAGACCCTGAACCATGAGGAACCAGCCAGGTGTCCCTCAGCCCTGGCTGACAGTCTGTGCGGGGCATCTCTCTCTGTCCCCCTCTTGCCCACCTTAGGCACTATGTGCACTAGGAGAAATGCCATCACCTGAGAGAGAAGGTGGTCCACTGGTCTGAGGAGGGGCTTGGAAAGGGAGGGGACAAGACTCAAAACAAGCAACACTTTCTTCATACTGACCCGGGAGGGTGGAGATGGGGGGATTCTCCGGGGGGTTCTCTGCTCCCCCTCCCCACTTGTCTGTCAGTCTGTCCTCCCGTGGTGGCTTGCATGCTGATGTGAAGCTGGAAGCTATGCCACCAGCACTTCAATACCAGCAGGGCCAGCCTTGGTGGGGAGGTTTCAGTGGAATGCTGAGGCTAAGACTCAGAAGAAAGGCCTGGCAATCTCGTTCTGAAAAGCAGCCACGGCACACCATACAGATCAAACCGAAACACTGTATGACTTGCTTGCTTTGCCTCTGTCATCAGGAGGGCCACTGGCTGGAGGAGGACACTGTGTCCAGTGGTGGGTCAAAGAGGACACAAGACCCTCAGTGAGACGGAGTGGCACAGGACACAATGAGGGACCCACGTGGTGTGACCAACACAGAAGCAGGAAGGGTTTCCTTCCGGTGAGCACACAGTTGCCAGGACTTGGCAGTGTACCAATCATAGCTAGTAACACTTGTTGTTAGGCGCCGTCGAGTCGGAACTGACTCTGAGCTGACACTTCAGTGGATTTTCAGAGGCAGTTTAATTACACAGGAGGAGACTGTCCATCCTTCTCCTGTGGAGCAGCTGGTGGATTTGAACAGGGTACCTTTGGGATTGCAGTGCAGTTTCTTACCACTAGGACATCAGACTATGACTCGACGGCACTTAACAACCACCACCACCACCAAACAAACAACAAGAAGACACCAGAGCACTCTAATAACACATGAGGTATCATCCATTCAACAACATTTAACCACCACAACAAACACACAACACTCACCCCCACCTCTCCCCAGCTCGCAGGGGAGGCTTCTGGTCACCTACTGCTCCTGGCCTTAAGTGGGCAGTTCAGCCCCCAAAGAAGGGGTTGAGAGTCGGCAGGAAGACACAGTGGTTGACAGTAATATTGAAAGAAACGAAGTCAGGATGTTTCTTAGATACAAGGACGGTGAGCCTTTTTGTCTTATGTCCGTGGGGCATATGGTCAAGAGGTGCCAGTCACTGGACAAACACCACAGGCTTGGGAAAACGACAGGGTCTGGAAAAGGGAAGAAGACCCTTAATGAGATGGATCAACACAGCCTTGCAAAGAGGGGCTTAAGCAGCCGTGATTGCGAGGACCAGGCAGGGTTTCTATGAGTCGGAGTTTGGCACCTAACCACAGTGGTTGATGAAATCATTTACGCCCATCACAGCGGTTTCCTCATTTAATCCTCCCGGCTGGAAAGTTATTATTATCATCCTTTTCATGTCTCTCAATTTGTAGCTTGGAGGAGTGCAGCTTGAAGGCGCACAGCGCGTATAAGGCGGAGCGGGGTTTCGAACCCGTGGCCCCGCGCCTGCTGAGGGTGTGAGCAGGCCTTTCAAGGCCCAGGCTCCATCTGGAAGGCAAGGAAGGCGGAGGGCCCCAGGGGCGGGGAAACGAGGCCGGAGGAGCCGCTCTGCGCAGCGGCGGGGAGATGGGGCCGCCGCGCCCGGGCGCGCATTCATCAGGCTGCTGACCCCGCGCACCGGCGCTTTGTGGCGTGGAACAAAGACTGCAGAGCAGAAAATTGGAGTTCAATTTGCCGTCCATTCCGCACGCAGCACTCAGCCCATTCCAGTCCCTGGCAGGCACCTCTGTGCTTTATCATAAATAATAACACCACGCGGTTCCATGGCCCTTTCAGCAATTCCCGTCCCTGAGCAATTTACAAGCTGGATTAGCAACAGGGCTTGCACATAGGCGCGCGCGGACAGGCCCAGCAGCTCACGTGGCCAAACGGTGCACCCCCCCCCCCGCCCCTTCGGGACTGTGACGGATCTGAGAGCGGCAGGCCTTCATCCTGCCCCCGACCCCCATCCTCCCCTGTGCTGGGCTCTCCTGCCCTGACACGCTTTCCCCCCCAATCTCACACTCCATCTCTTTTCCTGAGCGGTGCAAATGGTTCACACACTCAACTGCTACCCAGAGATGCATGAATAAAGGCCTGGTCATCTGTCTCTGAAAGCTCTGTTTTGCTCTCATACATATGGGAAGTAACAGTCTGTTCAACTGGTGGCTGGTGCTGGTCTGCAGGACTGCAGCCTCTATCCTGGGCTGGACAGAATCCCCTTCCTCTCACCAGAAAAAGTCTTAGATCTCTCCTCATGGGAGGTTGCTGCTGAGTACCACTGAGTCTGAACCGGCCCACAGCTGACCCTCCAGCAGGCTCTCAGGGGCAGGACATCACCCGGGAACGGCTTGTCCAGCTTCTGCGAATCAGCTGGTGGATATGATATTAATAAACAGTCCCATTTCCTTCCAATTTCACAGAGCAGCATGGAGGGCTGGTGGCCAGGCAGACTCACCAGGTCCACCTTACATTTGACAGGTGAGATTTTGGGACTGATTCAGGAGGGACGCTAACAGTTGCCATTCGGGGTGACAGCCCAGGGGTCCCATATCTGGTCTCCTTAAGTACGAGAGCCACAGAGAGGTGTTCAACCACAGAGGCTTGGAGAGGCTGGGCTGGCCTCCTCTGAGGCTGGGATATTACAGGGGGTCTTGGGGCAGACATGTAGGGATACCAGCCACAGCTTCTCCTTCTCCCATTTAAAAAGCAAAACCGACCTACAACCAGGAGAGGATAAAATAGATGAATGGGACCTTCTAAGAATAAAATCCCTATGCGCATCCAAAACTTCTCCAAGAGGGTAAAAAGGGAAGCCACAGACTGGGGGGAAATATTTGGCAATGACATGTCTGATAAGAGACTTATATCTAGAATTTATAGACTACTTGAGCACCACAAGATAAAAGCAAACAATTCAATTGCAAAATGGGCACAGGATATGAACAGACACTTCACCAAAGAAGACATTCAGATGGCAAACAAACACATGAAGAAATGTTCACAATTCCTAGCTCTAAGAGAGATGCAAATCAAAACAACTGTGAGATAGATAGCATGTCACTCCAGTAAGAATAGCAAAATAGAACAGCAAGCAACAAATGCTGGTGAGGTTGTCAAGAAACTAGAACCCTGATTCACTGTTGGTGGGAGTGTAAAATGGTGCAACCACTACAGAAGGTAGTATGGAGTTTTCTCAAAAATTTGAAAACAGCAATACCATTTGACCCAGAAATTCCACTACTGGGAATATACCCTAAAGAAACCATAACTGCCACCCAAGCAGATACATGCACACCCATGTTTATGACTGCTTTGTTCACAATAGCAAAGAGTTGGAAACAACCCAAGTGCCCATCAATAAATGAATGGATAGAGAAACTGTGGTCTATTCACACAATGGAATACTATGCTACATTGAAAAACAAGAAACTCATGAAATATTATTCAAAATGGGTAACCCTGGAGGACATTATGCTGAGTGAAATATCTCAGTCACAAAAGGACAAATACTGCATAGTACCACTGTTGTAAAATGGGACTGACGTCGGGGTTGGGGGGAACCTAAGATAAGAGGGGATAAATAATGTATATTGCATTGAAACAGATGAGGGAGAGAACTGTTTAAAAGGTATATAATTAGGTATTATTTTCATGACAAGATCCCAGAAAAAGAAGTGCATATTAAAGTGGACTGTGGACTTGGTGGCGGTGGGGACTGTATAACAATGAAAGAATTTTTTTCCTTTACAAAGAAAAAAGTGAACTGGGGGAAGGGTGGGCAGGGAGGAAAATGTGTAACAATGAATGAATAGGAAAAAATTTAAATGGGAATAATATGCTGTAAAAAATATGTTGTATTAAAAAAAAAAGCGCAAAACCGGGGAGGCCTTACCTGGACCCTCCCACTGGCCCTCCCCAGTCCCATGCACTCCTTAGGAAGAAAGGCTCAGTAATGGCCTTAGGTGGCCCTCTCAACCCTAAGAAATCACCCTATCCAGTGTCTTAACCTCTCTTCCTCTTGAATGTCCCCTCTCCAACACGTCCTGTCTGCCCAGCACTGGGCGGCCCTCTGGCTACTAGCAGATGGGGCAAGGTTCCCATGGCCTTGTTTAAAAAGGCCAATGCACAGACTCCTTTAAAGAGAGCCCCTTCTCCCCACTGCCCGAGTACACAGCAGTCTGGAGAGAAGACAGAAAGGTTGAATGTGGGTGGGCAGACAGGGTTCGAAGCCCACCCTGCATTTCCAAGGTGCCCACCTCTGGTCAGCTGCCTGTGTGGAGAGCTGCAGCTTTCGTATTCGCACTGTGGGAGTTCTCCCTCACTTAACTCGCAATAAAATCATAAAAAGCTGGAGACATGATGCATGGCCGAATGCCTGGCACCTGGGAACACGAGAATCCACTGCCGTGCCAGGGCCTGAGTCTCCATGTTTCAGGCCGTGACCTGCGTTTCGGGCCTGTGCTCTGCATGTCAGGCCCACACCCTGTGTTTCAGGCTGCAGAAGCAGTGAGGGTCTCTGGTCTCTGCTAAGGATCCCTGTCCAATGCGTATCCACCAGGAAGGAAGGTCGGGCCCAGGCCAGCCTTCCCTCCCTCCTCAGTGCCACATTCCAGATGTAATCATGCCCAGCTCTCTCCAGAGAAACCTGGACCCGGCAGCTGGTGCTGAGAGAAGAGAGAGACTGAGAGACACAGAGTCCTACCAACGAGCAAAAGGCCAGTTTACCAGGGACGTCTTCACCAGGGTGCCTGGTTCACATCGACATGGGGTCTATGTTCACTCCCGGCATGCCCACCAGCTCTTTCAGGAGGCAGGGTAAGAAGGAAGTGGCCGCGGACGCTAGACCCCCAAGAGGACCCTGGACTGCAGGCCCCTAACCTGCAGAAAACCTCTGGCCACCCACAGCATCTGAGCACCTCAAGTTGGAATGGTTTGTGGAACTCACTGAGCCCAAAGCACTTCTTGGCAGAGAGGGAAACTGAGGCAGAGGACGGTAACAGAGAATCTGAGCCCAGACTTTCTGACATTTGAGTCTCACGGCTTCACTGGTAATTGTTAGCCTCACTCTCCTCATCTGTAAAATGGATATGAGGGAGCTCTGGTGGCCGAAAGGCAGAGTTGTGCTGCCAACTCAAAGACAAGTGGTTCAAATCCACCAGGTGCCCCACGGGAGAAAGGTGGGCAATCTCCTCTCATAAGATTCACAGCTGTGGGGTCAGCTATGAGTCAGCTCTGACCTGAGGGCAATCAGGGACTCCATGGCAGGTACCCCAGTGATGCAAACAGCGACACACTCACCCGCTAACTAACGTTTGGCGATTTCAACCCGTCAAATCGCTCCCGGCAGAGAACTGCCCTAAGCTGGACTCAGCAGCTGCAGCAGCGGCTTCTGCCTTGGCAGCTCCGTGGGAGCAAACCTGGTGATCTGTGTCTGCACAGCTTGTAACTCGGACAAGCTGGTGGGGCAGTTCTGTTCGGTCACAGGGATCGCCAGAAGGAATAACCGACTCGGCAGCACTCAATACCCCAACGCGGCGATCGGTCCAACCACAGAGCTGGAATCCCAGGCCTAACTGCACCCACAGAGGTCCCAGATCCCATGAGGTCACACGCACAGGAGACACCGGCGTGTGGGCTTCAGTGGAGCCTCTGGGGACACACGTCCACCCACACGGCCTCACTGACCTCTTAGCCACTAGAAGATGCAGCACAGTCATTTTTGGACCTCACTTCTCCACCCCGAGTCTCACCTGGAACAGGAGCTCACGAAATGAAGGCTGGAGTGACAAGAAGAATGACGGAGGTCCCTCGTTTCCAAGGGGCTCTGTCACGACCCCAAGCCCTCCCGGATCCTCCACTTCCCACTCTCGCTGGTCACTTTGGCAAGCACGGAGCCCGACCTGCCCTGGCTGGCCTGGGCTGGTGCTGTGACAGGCGCTCAGCAGTGGGCCCCGGGCCGAGCTCACGGTGACTGACAGTGTGGCCACGAGCCCGCGGGCACGGGATTGGCATGCTGGCAGCAGTCTCGGGCCTGATGGACGGCCTGCCAGGTGACAGGCCTTCGTAATTCATTCCCGGGGAGCCAAGTCTTTCTGGGAAGGAGGGTAGCATGGGCTTCCACCCCAGCTCCATGTAACCCCTCTTCCTGTGCTGTTGTGGGGGGCCCTGGGTGTCCCTGACTGAGTGGGGAACAGGGTGCATGGCCATAGACTGCATGGTTCTATGCACTGGGGAAGTAGGGGAGAGCTCCCCAAGTTCCCCTTTCTTCTCTAACAACGTCCCCATCAAGGGAGAGGGAGCTGAGTGTCACACACTTTTTGTCCCCTCTGTCCTCTGGCTGGGCCAGAGAAGTGGGCCTTTGGCTGGGTCCTGTCCCTCAGACTTCAGCCTCGGGCCATGGTGATAAGGACCAGGCCGCTCAGCCTCTGTATACGGGCCCTAAATCTAGACGCTCTGACCGTCCCATTATGCAGATAGGAAAACTGATGCTCAAAGACAAGAGACTTAGCCCAGAGACGGCTAGAGTGTGTGTGAGACAGCCATGACTCACACAGCATGAAGCAGGAAAGGGAGAGAGGTGACAATGGGCGGCCCTTCCTCCCCACCCGGAGCTTCTCCCCCCAAAAGCGGACCCCCTGCCCCACCACAGTGGACACCTTACT